GACAGGAACATAACCAGCACATGCTACCCGGTATTGTGTTTGGTGAGACACTTTGCAAAACGCGATGGATGGACTGAGTTGGATACATGCCGTGTAGCTTTTAGACTTGTTGATGAATTGTCCACAAAACCATCTGAATTCACTTTTTGGGTGCATAAAGCTTTTCTTGACTTGCTTTGACTTAACGTGACTTGACTGAACCACATTTGAGCGGGTGTGAACTATTTGTAGGGAAAATTAATTCCGTTTCCATTCGATCTCTACATCGGCTCCCATCCAAATTTAGCTCTTTTAATTCAACACATGTTTGCTATTTCTCTTCACTCCCGCCTCGCCCCGCCCCCCCCCCCAATTTATAGGGACGGGAATGCCACTGATTTATGTTTCACTCTAATCTTCGCAGATCGCGTGTGGGGTTTTGATTATTCTCTCATTTACGTGTGAAGGCCCAATTTGTCAAAACACTTGTTTGTTTCCTCTTGATGAGAAAAGTGTAAACTCTTGCCAAATACAAATATGAAACTGTCCGCCCTATTGCACATGTAGCAAAACACATTTTGAGTGTGAATCAGCCAACTGCGGCCGACAAAACTTTGCAAATTAAAACTCTGTCTCTAAACCGGCAGTCAGCACTCATCACAATGCAGCACAGTCCATATCACAATACAAGTTCAGTATAACATCAAGTTGAGGCTAACGTATACCATCTGAGATTACGACATGCGTGTAGATACCTTGGTCACAATGCTTATTTTTAATTCTACAATTTGCTACTGTCTTTGTTAATCAGGAAACCAATCACGGTCCGTTGTGACAGATTTCATTCGACATTGGGATGGATGAAATTGAGTTTAGTAGTGTATTTTTGATAAAACACTTGGTGGTGAAAAAGATTGATTTTCAGCGAATACATTTCTCTGATTACTTTCATTAACTTGGGAATGAATTCAGCAAAAACGTATGTTCGCCAGCGATCTGAGTTTCGGTTAAAACGATGGGTTTAATTCGTAACATATTTATTTCCATACTCTAGGCGTTGTATACCGAGATTTTTCAGGCAGTTTAAGTAAACATCAATAAGTACTATACTGTTTCCAGTTTCCTCCTCGAATACAAAAGATATATATTTGTATGCGCATAGTTGGAAGTGGGCTACAGTTATCCGAAATCACTATCCGCGTCTACGAAACATAATTGATCAACGACATATCTTGTAAACAGCGTGCATAGATGAATGGAAGCTGCTAGGGTGTTGTTCTCTAGCATTGCCACAAAGAAGCCGCATGCAACTGAACTATCGCAGAACACGTCGCCCACCCGTCCTTTCAATGACCAAAAGATTCAATGGATTTGAAGTTTTGTTCAAAATCCTGAGGTGTACCGGACAAAGAATCGAAAGGTTTATAATGAAATGAAATGAGTCCCTGAAAGCTATGAAAAGTGGTAATATCAGTCAGATAGAATCTAACGGGGTTGATATCACCACATATTTGTTGCTATTATAAACGCTTGTGTGGGGTGCCTGAGTTCTTCCTTCGTGTTACTGATTGATGACGAGAGGTGTGGTTAAGTGTCAGCGGTGAACAAACATTGAGTTTAAGATGAGTTATCGCGTATCCCCCTACATCCCACGTGATTTCCGTTGTAACGTCACACATGCTGATGTGAATCCATAGAGGTAAGCAAAAACCTTAATCCCATTGAATCAAATGTTAGATCAACAGGGCATATTCTGGTAAACAGTTCCGGTTTCAATACCTTGGGAACATACAAATTATAATACGAAGCGGTTTTCTGCAAACGTTCAACCGCATGATGGAACAAAACAATGCTTGCTTTCATCATTGTCAGAGATTTTTTTCCAAAATTCATTTCAAATGGAATCCCCTCCCTTTAGTACGCTTTGAACCTCATTGTTTCAACCCAAAAAGCTCGCCTATTGAGATATTCTTACAATTAAATTCACTCAGATAGTTTTGGTAAAATATGAGTACTGCAATAATTCCTTTTCAAACTACCCTATATTTTCTCTAACCTTGTCATTTTGCAATACGAACATTCGTTTCTTTCTGACCAGTTTTTATTTCGTTGACTAAATAACTAACACGTTTCAATATTCTTGTGATAGCCTATCACATGGATTTCTCAACCAATAGTATCTGTTTTAATCCGTTTGTGCATCGTGGTATTTATCAGCATTTTACGTCCAATAACGAGCGGTTGAGAGCCTTCATGACAAGGCTCAATGAACTAACAGCACATAATTCCCCGCATTCCAGCTTTGTCAGAAGTTTGATCCATCAAATACGCAAAGATTGATACATGTGTGCCAATCTATACTCATTTACGTGAAATAACGAGCTCTCGCTCATCATTAGGTGGCAGACTATGGTGGACTCGTATGAGGAAACGATCATAAGTATGTTAATTTGCTTTTGTGTTTCTGTCAGCAGCGCATCTTGCTATCCGGAAATCTGCCTCATTTCAATCCCCAGGACTTCAACCAATATTGGTTCCAGTGAGAATAAACAGTGAACACGAGTTGAACGTTTGTCAAACTATCTATCACTCGCGGTGTGAGCTTCTCTGGTCTATGAATCGACAACGGCAAGCAAACATTTTTCAAAACATGTGCTTATTGATTTTTTAGGGTAACTTCACTGTTCTGACATATTTTGAAAGATAAACCAACATATTATTGAAATTGTTTCGGCTTGACCACAGTCATTAGCATGGGATGGAAAGATAGCGGAACCTGTTTTCCTGCAATATATTATTTTCTTGATAAACGAACGTCCGAGAGGGAGGTTATAATTCACGTGATGGTGAGCGTAAACTAGTTGATTACATACCACAGCAAACGGCCAATTATTCTCTGTGGTTAAATTTAATGAATGATATGTTTTTGTGTTAGCGCTGGTTTTATCATGCAATTCGCTGACTGTACCACCGTTTCAGATGTTTACGTCGTGTAAAGTGAACATATAATGTACTTGGATTGTTAATTCCGTTTAATCGCGCCAATTATTTGAATACTAAATATTGGTGAAAATCTGCTTTTTCTAGAAGAGAGCTCTCTTTAGATAGCTTAAAAATAAAGATAAAGATCCGCTTCTGTTTCACGTTGTTCCCGAAGATGCCAGAAACACGAGATTGACAAATATTTTCTAGACTGAAGTAATTAAGTTTGTGTTTGCATATTGTTCTATTCCTATGTGTTCCCTTTATGATCACGGTAGTTTCTTCAATCAATTATAACACCTTTCTGTGTGCCGAATGACGTGAACGATGAGAAATCGATCAAGTTGATCAATGTGGCGCATCTTTTTGAATCACGTTTAGAGGTCACAGGAGAAATGCGTTGATCGATTCGCTTTCCCGTTGGTGTTGACTAGTTTGTTTTAAAGGTTCTAATGCAGTTAACTACTGGAAAAGATTATAGACCTGCGTTATCCTGGTGTTAAACGGCGAGTAAAATTTCATAACAATTGTTCAGAAGTGCTGTCGACTGACCACTGCCTAGCGCCCCGTTGCGCATACACTTCTCATAATCCAAATGATTTTTCTGATTATGTGATTTGATTTGCTTTGCACCTAGGAAGAAATAAACAACTACTTATATACGCATAAGAATGAATGCAGAAAGTTTGTTTATTTTGTAGTCTCCATCCGTTTTAAAAACCGTCCAAAGTGTCTGCTACCAACCAGATTCCGGATGAAGCAAAAAAGCTTGTTATTTTTCATTTTTGCCTGTGTGAATTTGGTCAGTGTTGAATACATATAAAACTATTAAGTGTGGTTTGGTGATTCATTTGGCAAGTGAGTGGTCAGTATTTGTGACATAGGTTTGTTTTTATTTACCATGTGGCCGATAAACTGGCATTTGTATTGACTGTTGTCTTAATCGCTTGAGTGACTGTCAAGTTCTCGGTGTGTGTGTGTGTTTGCGTGCACAGTTTGTTGTAGTGCATGCCTTAGTACAAAAATGAGCTATCAAGGATCGCGGTTCGCAGCCAGGGTCGGTATAATCTTGGGCATAAAGTTTGATGTTATTCAGAAAGATACGGAAATCACATGTGATTGCTTTGGGAAAATTTACCGAATTATCACGGGCTGTTTCTCTACAAACGACGGGATGGGATGGGGAACAAACAAAACTTCATGGGATTGCCTCCACGTTTATGTCTCCCTCTCTATTTCCGTTTTGTTTACTGCATCGTTGCTTATTCTTTTGTTCTCATGTGTGTTGTGTAAAATGGGTTCTTTGTTTGCTTGTACAACAGGGTTTCGACGGAAGAAGAAACACAGCCAAAAATGAAATTTTTTGGATTGATAGATAGATAGATATAGATGTATATTACAAAGCAAAAGTTTGATATCTGTCTGTGTGTGTTGATAAGTCAAAATGTGGTTCTCTGGATCTCTGAATATCACTTCAAGCTGGAGAAAGGTGTGGCTTGGAACTGACGAAACGGGAAAGCTGAACAATGGATGCATATGGGGTCAGGAGCGCGAGGAGATTGGCTTCACGAATAGAGAGAGTGAGCGGCTGGCTTCGAATGAACGTTGAAACAATAATAACGGGTGTGTGGGTGAGGAGGGTGGTTTATATAACACTGAGGGACTATTGCCAGGTTGATTTAAGGGGGGAGGGTGGGGGTAATCTTTGGAAAATGTCAAACTGCGTGACACAAAAACAAGCTCGCACGTATCGTCTTTCTCGCTCTCTCTTGATTAGGCAAGTGATTGAGTAATGATCCTTGATGTTCGGAGTTTCTTCTCCAGATCACTTTGTGGGGATCCGCGAATATAAAATGAGCAAAACGTCATGGAGGCTACAAGCCTCCGAGAATCTGTGTTCATTTGTTATGGGAATGCTATGAAAAGTTTGGTTCTCCGTTACACAAACGGCGGACCCTCTTAGTCACAAGTAGATCGTTGTGCCGACCCTAATAATTCAAAAGATAGTCTAGTTAAGCTTGCTCCCAATGGAACGTACATCAGTCAAAGGTGAACACGGGATTTCGAGATTGAGAACGTCCAGAGGAACCAGGGTATTGGGGGGAATCAAATGATTGTGTATTTTGTTCCATCACTCGAGAGCCAGAATGAGCTTTACGTCCACCAATGCGACGTCTGAGGTGCAGAATGTTTGGTANGTGACTCTTCTTTTGTTGTTGCTGTTCATGTGTGTACCAGTTTGGATCGGGGAGTGGACTGTTCTCTTCGTCTGGATACAGGGTTGGCAAAGATGCTGGCAGCTTGGATTGAGCAAATCTGTGTTTCATAGGTGGGTGTGGCTGTCCCGGTGGTCGCGATTTATTGGCCGGTGAGAAGAGAACGTTGATTGGAGAAGACATTTCCAGAGCGTCTGGGTTGCTTTCGAAATCTTGCATATGACAAATACATTTGCAAGTAGATGGTTGATGATCTGGATGTTTAGAAATGAGGAAAAAAAATTAGATATGTCAAACAAATAAATTCCACCTTTATCTACAAAATGCCCAAATATACAATCTACTTTCAGGAAAAGAGTTATAATCACTTCACATCTGACCGTGAATATACGACAAGAATATGGAGGATTGGCAGCGGTGGCGGGAATTATTATGGAAATTCTATCTGAACCACTCGGCTGCAAATGACAAAACAACTGAACTGAACGTGTTTGCGCGCAGAGATGACGGGTTGTCTGGACGATCTGTTTGCTTTTTGGATCGCTTTTATTTCATGTTGTGGCCAATTCCTGCGGTGTGTGCCAGGATATCACCTCAAATCCGTCTTATTTAACTCAGCGAGCTAGTGTAATTGTAATTGAAGGATACATCCTAAACCGTGCTATCGTTGTCGAACACAACAAGGACACATCCGAATGGAATGCCAGTTTTTGAGAGGCATTAGTGGTCGTGATGAAGGCGATTGAAGATGTATTTTTTAGTCTTCAGGCCACATGTGAATTCTGAAGTAGGAGGTGTGGTATTTGAGTTAAACGCCTGAAAATAATGATGCTCACGGTGCGCTTCTACTCGGATAACGTTGAACAATAAGCATTATAACCAAAACGATGATAACATGTTTGTTCGTTTGAGTCTAAGACGTCTGCTACGTTGGTCAGACCACTCAGCGATTGTCTTCGGAATTGACAGAATACTAATGCCGTCCGTGTAATTGCAGCATATCAGCGTCAATGTCCGGCACCAGGTTTCATACATTTCGGATACACTGATCGCAAAATGCAGTTACACTGAGTGATTCTGGAAGCGCCCATAAGCCCCTACTGGTGAACACCGAAGCAAGGTTTATTCACCTATAAGCGCGCTTTGTTAAATATCACCAATAGTACATTGTCAGAACTTGTTTAAGGATTTATTTCTTCCTTAACTTTTTTCTAATGAATGGTATCGGCTATCCACAGAACTACCTTAAAGACTCCAGTCCAGCCTCTGGTGCCTCTAGTTAAACTTGGACAGCTGATTTCAATGCGACTGATGGTCTTCAATTCCCGTAAAGTAATTTTCTTCGGTTAATGTAATGATCGACCAACAGCCAAGGTGCATACGTACACATAAGGGTCTAACGACAAGCAGGATGCAGTTAAATATAACTGGTTTCTGACACTAAGGGGCGGGGGCGAGAGAGGGCGGGGCGGGGCGGGGCGGCGGTCATCATGACAATGTGCATTCAACTCACTCACCTGGAGTTGCTGCACACCGCAACAAATGATACACAGGGTCACTCACTTCGTCTAAAATACAAGGGAAAGATAGTAATACATCAAGCGACAACAGGTTCCCAAACTTGTATGATCATTTGATTGATCTCATCGAAAAATAAATGCCGCCAAATAATCTGCTCGAGAAAAGATTCTCACTTGAATGTTTCGCGTTTGCATTTGTTTTACTACAACTCAGGTGAACTTGTATGACTGCATCAAATGCAAATATGTACACGGTTTGTCACAGAATAAAATTTCGGAAAAATCTGAACACATGCGCCTTGAAAAATGTCGCTAAAGTTTGTGTTATGCACATAATTTCTGACGTAATTCATCAACGATTTGTTTCTAGTTGGTTATGAGTCGAGTCAGCTAGGCTACACAGGAATTCTCATAAACTTAAAAGTAGATGCCGAAAAGAAGACCAGCGTGTGGAGGGAGTGGAGTGAAAAGAAGAAACATCAAGGTGCGGTAAATTCACCTGGTCGTCTTGAATATTACTGGGAACTTCATTTCAAAATTGATGTTACTCCCATAGTAAGTTGTGTGAATAATGAACCAACTGAAAACGATGAATGAACAATGAAAATTACTCTTTCTCATTATCCGGAGCTGTCAACATTCTTTACTGAAGCGATCGATGTGAGATCAAAAGATAATGGTAACTCAAACTGCTCAAAATTGTGAATTCCAAAGAAATTTATCTGTAGTATTTGATTGAAAATTAATTTCTCGAAAGTCTATTTATCTTACCCTATTTATATTGTTTAAGTTTCACTTCTAACAGTAATATACTTACGACATTGTTGATGTGTGATCGTATAGTAGCTGAATGCGAATAATAGTGAATAATGTTTGCACGCAAAGATATCAGTTTCTCCTGTAATCAATTATCAAATTGGAGCCAAGATATCATGTTCTACTCTCCCGGGAAATGATGCATCTTGAATGTGCAAGAAAGATCACCAAGAGAAAAGTGCGTTGTTGTATGCTAGTTGAATCACATTAAAAAGGACTTTGAGAAACTTCCATGAATACAACCAACCCTGTGCAGATAATCATATCAAACCTGCAAAGCTTCGTTTTTAAATCAATGCGATTGATTTTATACCCATGTTTAAATCAAAATTTGTGAGTAATCCCTATTTAAAAAGAACCAATGGAATGTGCTGGGCGGATGGTGCAATTGAATTGAACGCATGATTTATCAGCATTGCGATCTATGCAGAAGGATGCTATTTAGAAATATATAACTGTAACTTATTGTAAGATAAGTAATCAGTAGTGGCTCTCACCGCTTTCTGTGAATACTTGATCAATAAACTCAACTGAATGTTTAAAAAAATGTTCTGCAGAACAAGAATTGGCTATCAACTGAAAAGTCACATTTCGGTTCTTTTACCTGATAGTAATCACACAATGGTCGTAAAGGAAAGGCACGTATTCTTTTCAAAGATTAGGCCAGGTCGTGGCTGTGTTAAATATAGCCATGGCCGACTGTGGTTGAGGCACCTCGGATAAGTCAACACGTGGATTCCGATCTGTTTCACTGTGCCAACATTTGGCTGTATCTTTCCTCGAAATAACAGCTCATAGCAGATAACGGAGGCAAAATACTGCAGTCGTACTGACCCCCTGGTCTGACTGGTACTAGGGCAAAATAATGCAAATACGGGAAGAATAGAGCGCTCCACTGTTCACCAGAACCGGATGGAGTTCCCAGCCCGTTTACTAATTGTATTGCTACATTGGGAAAGTTTGAATTGGCGGAAATGCTGCGATTGGTACACAAAAACTATTTGATTCCCGTTATTCGACAGGGCGTACACGCAGTTTGTGATACAACGGAATGAACAAAGTCAACTGCGGTTTGCGGAAGTATACACGTTACTTATTCCCAACGAAGCTCTAGGACACCGAAAGTAATCCTTTCGTATGATGAACGATCATTATCGCCTAATGGAAATCTGTTGGCTTTATATTTGCAACTATTCGGTACATTTTTTGCACTTTTCCTGAATCCAATTTCATTCATATTTCTTTTGTCTTGCGTTTTGCAAGCCTAACGTGTTCAGTCGAGGATATCAGCAATAATCTTTACACTGTAAAACGAAAAATATGAGCCAAGTAACTAACCTAAAGTGAAGTTCGGGATATAGAAATAACTTACTGGCGTCATCTTTGTTCTTGTAGTTTTTTCCCAAAAATGCGTCCCTCTAAAAAACAGGGGAAAATATGAGGACGTGATTCAACCAGCCCCAGGCTAAGATGCAACTATTTATATAGATGTTTTCATTGAACGGTAACATTACTTTTCCTTGGTGAATATCATCAGCTTGTGGCAGATTGTAGGAAGAATAGCGGTTTAAAGAGCTAAGCCGTTTTTATGTATACTAACAAACCATACGGGCATACTACGTGCTGGTAATAGAGTGAAACGAAGCCACTTTCATGCATACGGTGAATAGTCGCGCTTAGTGACGCTGAACAAGTCACTGACGTCCGTCCGTTTCTGTTTTTCTCTTCCCTTGTTTCCTTTATGCGCGTTAACTGCTTGGTGAAACGCGTTCCTCATGCTAATTATACATATCGTATCATTTCATGTTTTTTTCCTGTCATGTAAATATAGTCTAAAGGGCTATTTTACATATCTATTAGACATTTCTAATTTTGTCACTAATACTGTGATCGTTTCGCACAAGTTGTTTATATATGAAAATAAACTATATATGAAACTAAACTAACGTCTAAATTTCGAAAAACAATGTTTACCTAAAAGAAATTGCACTTTAAAAACCATCGGTTGCATCACAATTTCCGCAACAACGGTTTGGCTGTGAAGGTAAAATCAAACTATAATTACTGCATTGTTCAAATTCCGATGCGCAGCATTGAAGTGATCTGGTATATTTTGGCAGTCCGTTGTAGAATCGACCACGCACAAAATATCGTCTACGTAACGTTTGTACAATACGCATTGTTTGATATGCATTTTAAGCGGACCGTTTTCTTTTTCAGACATGAAAACATCAGCAAACAAGGGTCTTATCGGGGACCCTATTACTACACCGTCCATCTGGCGATAGATTTCCTCATTGAAAGTGAAATTCACATTGTGAGTGCAGAAGAATAACAATTGTTTTAGGTCATCTGTCGTTAGACCTACATTAATCCCGTTACTTTCAATATCGGTACACAAATAATCAAATGTTTCGCCGATTGGAACATTCGTGAACAGAGATGTGATATCTAGCGAAAACACGTGGTGATCTTTGGTATTAAAGCCACTCAAGGCGTAAATGAGACCAGTTGTATACTTGAGGTTATTCTGAGCTAACGTCACTCTCACGCGTTCCAGAAGATCAGCCAACTATTTAGCTATCGCACAGTAGGGAGAGTTGCACATGTCCAGGATGTTTTCATGTCTGAAAAAGAAAACGGTCCACTTAAAATGCGTATCGAACAACGCGTATGGTACAAACGTTACGTAGACGATATTTTGTGCGTGGTCGATTCTACAACGGACTGCCACAATATGCTAGATCAATTCAATGCTGCCCATTGGAATTCGAAATTGACGATTGAAAATGAAGCAAACAGTGGATTGGCATAATTAGCTATTTGCCTAACTAGTTGTGTCGACGAGTTCATCAGGCGGTTAGTACACAAAAAGCCGACTTG